ACCCCCCTTTATGGCAAAAAGTCTTCTACGTGACATCTTTCAGCAGGACATTGTTCCCTGTAATGTTGCTCAAATTGTACATGATAAAGACTTTACTGTGTTTCTATAGCAACCAAATTGTCCAGATCTGAAAACCTTTTGTTGAGTCGACAAATTCTCATTCCAACATAACTACCATATGACTTACGACACTTAGATGACTTGCTGTTAATATCTAGCGTTCACATCTGATTGGATAAGAGCTGTTATGATTGATCATAGAAAAGCAAGAAACATCAATAGAGACGTCGTCAAAAGGTTTTGGCTAATTGCAAAATTGATTTCCCAAATTTGAAGCAAATAACAAAAGCTAGAAAGGAAGTAGACGCAAAAATGTTAAGAAACTTGAATCGGAACCTCTTTCGTCTGATCTCGTGCTACAGAATCACAAAGAACTGTACCAAATAACAGAAACCACATCACTTGAGAACTTTCAACAGCAGCAACAACTAAAATGGATAGCGTCTATAACTCGAAGAGGAAATAATTACATAATCAAGATGTTGGCTTTCCACACTACTTCAGACAAAAGGTTAAGAAGGAAACCGCCATCATCACCAGAAAGCAATAGACCTGAAAAACCTATTTTCCTGGAAAATGTTTTTAAGAAAAAAGATTTTATAAATTTCAATCGACAGTAAAATCAACTGTTCGATTAATGAATCCCGAAGTTTTCCTTATAATTGAACAATTAATTTCACCGTTACAATTTAGCACAAACTGTTTGAAATCAGCACATTCCATTAAAAGGGAATTCCAAAGAATATATTTGAAGAAGACTTTATTAATAGATTTCAACCAGGGGATGGGGGTCACTAACTTCATTTGTTTTGGGGGGGGAGTCTAACCTCATTGTACAAAATATCACAGGCCGTTGTACGTTTCAATAGGAGATCTTATAAATACACTTGTGTTAAGAAGTCTCATATGCCACTGGAAAAATTCTTAAAGCAAAATTCTACTTTGAAATATTTAGCTACACCCATAATCTCCTCGAAATTAAAACTCTATATATAACGATACGTGTGCGTTTGTGCACGCACACACGTTTTTATGATGGTGATTGCATCTACATATAAAAAAAAAGATGTCGTGTATAGCTTTTCTTTAAAGATAAAATAACTAAGCAAGCTGGTTTCTGAATAAAGGTTTTGTCTTTACTTCGTTTTTATTTTTATTTTATGTTAAAAAAAATCCTCTACAGACAATTCATTCATTGTGAGTCTTAATGATGTCCTGATATTTTTTTCTTCCTTTGTCGACGGCGAGGATCGGTGTTTTTCATATGTTTTAGTGATGGTCGACAACATAGCGTTTTTGTAAGATTCTATTTACGAACCATCTTTGAATCTACTTGTTGATCGGCTGAGGTCTAGTGCCCTTCAACTCTCAACCACCACCACCACCACCACCACCAACAACAACAACAACAACAACAACAACACTGTTTACGTCTCGGTCGTTTGTTGTTGCCTATTCGTTCTTTCGAATTTGGCCGACTGTTTGATTTTCTTGGACCTCGAAGTCGGATCGGCAAAAGATTTACACAGTGTGAACTATTTCTCGGCTGTACAATGATTAGGACTTCCAACCGGAGATACTCCAAACAGTTTTAGTGATCCATGAAAATACCCATCTATGGCCAAGAAAATAGTACCCGGATGAGAAGATCGATAAATAGCACCCGAATGAGATTAACTTATTGAAGATCTAGAGCTAAACGTTGTTGTCATTATGCAGCTCTGAAAAAATACATCGACTGTTAACAAAGAAAACATATTTTTCTCCCTGGCCAGCGTCATATGTATGAAATTCATAGCAACAAAAGGCCGATTTTGAATGAAGTAAAAGAAAATCATATCTACTTCAGAAATTGCATCTTTTCCAAGACATGCTAAGCTCAAGAAATAAATTCAACCTAGTGTGTCTTATTTATCTTAGAAAATGCTAATTTTGTTTCAAACCAACGTAAAGGAAATCTTTCATCAGAAATTAAACATAATTCTATTTATTGTTTTACAGTTAAAGAATGAAATACATTTGTTTGACTTTTTCAAAAATTACGAACACTTTTATACTACTTATGTTTTTTGAGTTGGATTTAAGAAGTGAAGACCATAATGATATAAAAATTAAAAAAAAATTGATGCTTATGATGTCTTGGTAAAAAAATGTCATTATAAAAATCAGAAATGGTAACAGGATTCCGATCCTATTCTCTTCTGCCAAAATCAATGACAAACTTAAAAAAACAAAAACAGTTTGAAATCATGAAGAATATTTTCGATAAAAGAGTTTTATTTGTGAAAAATACAACATAAATAAAATAAATAAATATCAACAGTCACGAAAATCTAAATTTTGCTCACCATGGGATCGTCCCGGAAGGTGGATGTGTACGTTTGCTTTTCAAGTTGCATTCCTTATTGGAGGCGAATAACGCAAATTATCGTGAGTTTTTGATTAATTAATGTTTTTATTTGATTTCCATATTGATTAATATTTTATTCATTAGAATAAATACACATCTGTTTTAATCTCCACGTTAAAGATCCTACATAACACACATGGCGTAGCGAACCATGCTCATTCGCTTCGTGTTCCATTCGTGAGATGTAAGTTCCACTAGAACAGCTTCTTCCCACGAATCGCTACCTTGTGGATCTGACTCCCAAGGGGATGCTCCCCAGATCACTACAATCTTAACTTGTCCAAGTCTAGGTTTAACCGTTGTTTTAAGCAAATATCCCCATAAACTGTGCTTCTTAGTTTGTAAACCTCAACTTCGAGTGGCTCTTGGGCCTCGTACAAGGTGAACATTATTCTAAAAAAAAGAAAAGAATCGAATATTCCTCCCCCATAAGGTGGTGATTAGCTAGCTCGCCAGGCACATTGCTCTGTACAGAGTGTCTCATTAAAATGACTTTATAACAAATTTAGTTTTGTAAATTGCCTTAGGGATGGCTGAGTGGATGTGAAGTATTTCGCACTGACGCCAATGGACAGTGTTCAATTCCAAGTAGATAACAGGATTTTGTATTTAAAATTTCCAAAGCAGCTAGGCGGTGTCTGTGGATATAAAACAATCAATTTTTTTCAGTATTTTTCTATCTGGCCTTATGCCACACTTAGCTGTGCTTTGTTGGTTAGCTTTTTAGTCGTTTGTCTTTGTTTATGATTGAAAGAGAGGAAGAGAAAGAAAAAAAAGAAGAAGCTGCTAGTTAAATATCAAATATGTGAGTAGACATAACGTTCAGTCAAGTTAGGGACATAAGTACAAACTTTTGTTTGACTAATACAATCGAAAGTCAATAATAAAAACCTGTTTAGAAAAATAAGAAATTATTTCATGGATAAGTAAAACTATAGATGTGAAAATCCTATCGGAACTGATGTGACTGAAGACATTAAATCAACTAATGAATAAAAATATGAAAATTATTGCAAAGAATTCATATGCAGTTTTTTTTTGTTGTTTTTTTTTGCTTTCAAATTCAAAGGTGAAATTAAGAATTATTAATATTCTCTGCACTGGCGATCCGTTTTTTGTAGCTGTACCTCTCTACTGTACTAAAGCATGACTCAATATATATATATATATATATATATATATATATATATATATATATATATATATATATATATAAATTAATTGATTTAAAATATGTTTTTTTTTCGCTACACAGAAATGGAAAAATATAAATATCTATAACAACACCGGATTATATATCTTACTCTTCTTTTCTTTTTATATATATATATATATATATATATATATATATATATATATATATATATATATATATATATATTAAATGGTGTCTTTGGAATAGTTCTAGACAAAATAAACATTGTCATGTATTTGTTCGACACGGATTATGTCTAGATTTTTCGCTTATTTCATTGATGAGGCTTCATAAATATTTTCTATTTTTCATATGACTCATGTTGATGATATTTTCCAACTAATTTCCGAAAAGTATTTATTGGACAACCAGTATATTAATGAAATCGGATTAAACAAGGTAATTAAAATGTGATGTGTGAGTTGCAAATGGCTGAACAAAACTGATATATACGGATTGTATATCTGCATATGCACTGATATAAATGGTATACACGCATACCCTCCCTAAAGGAATGTTATAATGCACTGAAAGTTTATAATATATGTAAACCTTATACGCACGCACGCATGCGCAGACGGAGAAATGAAGAAAAATCAGTGATAGTCGATTTCTCTACAACAATTTCCAACTTATTTTTATTATAAAATTATAATAAAATATTCAAATGAGATTGGAATAATGTGCCTGAATCAGTGTGTATTATACTTATTGGTAAGTAATAATGATATATATATATATATATATATATATATATATATATATATATATATATATATATATATATATATATATGATTGATTTGATTAGCAAATCAAAAATTCGAGGGTTTTTCGAAACGAGTCTAGTTATCTATATTTTATATGTATATATATATATATATATATATATATATATATATATATATATATATATATATATAAATTAATTGATTTAAAATATGTTTTTTTCCGTTTACACAGTTCTAACCATGTTTCAAAATAGAAGCTAAAAAATTAGTTCTATTTTCATCCTCAAGCGAAAAAATTCGCTTGAGGATGAAATGGAACTAATGCTTTTAATTTAATTGCAAAATTAAATTCGGGGCTTTTAGCTTCTATTTTTGAAACATGGTTAGAACTGTGTAGCGGAAAAAACCATATTTTAAATCAATTAATTTATAATATTATGCTCTGTAAATTTACACTGAGCATTATTTTGTAAAAATAAAAATATCTATAAGAACACCGGATTATATATCTTACTGTTCTTTCTTTTTATTTATATACATATATATATATTTATAGTCTCATTGCTATCAGGGATTTTTACAATGTCCTAAACAGAGATGAAAATATGCAGCATCTATCGACCACAAAATACGCAAAGGAAGAAACTGCCGTCAGATATTAAACGAAACCGCTGTAGTTAACTGCAAAAAAAGTCGATGAAAAATCTCTTTCATACTTATTCACTTTGATGGACAGATCTGTTTTGATGCATACAGATCTGAAAAATACTAAGAAGAAAAAGTAAAGACATTCTGGTGGATCTTTGTTTTGATTGGAAGCGAAATATGGCCTCGTTCACAAAATATCATGAATTGTGTTTATGATTGGCAAACGTATCGAGAAAATTGTTCGAAAACAATTATTTGAAAAGAATTGATTCGAATATCGGAATAACTATGTTTGAAATACTTATATGGTCTTTTGCTTTGAAAGAACTAATAACGCCATTGAAGGATAGCATAGGACTTTTTTTTGCAGCGTCATCCCATTATCCAACAATATGGAAATTCTTAGACGCTAATTAAAAGAAAACAGGACTTGTAAGAAATTCATATTGCAAAAGTAAGAGCAGGTTGCCAAAATATCATGAGCGCCAAGAAAATACCGCGACGTAAATAGAAAACTTAAAAAATTAGTGGCATCCTTTAACGAGTACTGTTCAATAGTTGACTATTTGTATGCAATATCATATAACTTAAGGTTAGAAGGATTTTTTCTTACTAATCTGTTTTATTAATGATATTTGTATTTCGAATAATTATCATTTATGTATTTCGTCTTTTAATTTTGACATTTTTATTGCAATAAATAATTTTGAATTTCGAATAATTATCATTTAATTGTCCTTTCGATTAATTTTCATTCAAACAATTTACAATTCGAAGAAATGTTTTTCGAATAATGGATTTCGAACAATAATTTTTTTAACAATGTTCACATAATCATTGGCAATTAGAAGAGTTCATCAGCATAAAATAAAATGTGTCCTTTTTCTTTTCTATAAACATATATATGTATATATATTATCTATCTGGATAGATAGGTTGTTAATCATATATGACCGTCATAGACAAGTATTTATATTGTTTCTTTTACACCCCAAATAAATGGACACATAGACATACACACATGTGCATATATAAATTTATAAATGGTATATTTAGACAGCAATTATGCATCCCAAAATTTTTATTTTTCCAATTTTCAAATAAGATGTTGTATACTGGGATTAAATTTAAGGCCAATCCTATCAAAGTTAATGTCTTCCTCTATTTTATCTGTCGACCTTCTCAATCATCAACCCGCTGTCAATGTGATTTTAGTAAACCACTTTTGATAGTTGGTGTAAAGTATATATTTTGCTTGACTGTCATTTGCATACGTCATTTATATATATATATATATATATATATATATATATATATATATATATATATATATATATATGCAAATATATAGAAAATCGGAAAGAACACGTTAGGTAAATAATCGGAGTTCTTTAGTATTTTCGTTTTATTTTAAAAAACAGTGCTCAATACAAAAGTAGAGCCTAAATTATAATTATAATTATTTAAAAAAACATATGATTCCTTCGCTACATAAGAGTTCTCATGTTTCAAAAACAAGAGCTAAAAACTTCAATATAATTATTAAAATTATATTGAATTAAGGTATCAAGATCTGTTTTACCGTCAAGCGAAATTTTTGGAATAACTAATCTTGAAGTTTACACAGCATTATAAGCATATTCGTTCGTAAAATATATATATATATATATATATATATATATATATATATATATATATATATATATATGTGTGTGTATGTATATATATATGCGTGTGTGTGTATGTGATGAAGCTACACACACACAAACACACACACACACACACGCACACACACACACACATATATATATATATATATATATTTAGTATAGGTAATAAATCCGTTGGTATATAATCCAAGTGGATCCTATGAATAACAAATATTAAATGATCCACAAAATGATCTCAATGTATTTATTTATTCTTTAATATTTGATTTTGTTGTGTAATATATATATATATATATATATATATATATATATATATATATATATATATATATATTATACAATTTAACAGTACTTTTGACTTTTAAGTATTCTTTGAATTTATTGCGAATAATGATCAATCGAATTTCGATTCTAGTAGAGAAAATAACTGGAATTATCTCTACCATCTTTTCAGAAGATCCCTTCTTGTTTTTGTGAAAGCTTTCTACTTTCCCATGACCACTAACATTGTCTTGAGTTTTGGAAGTTTTGCCTTTCAAATAATTTGCTTATAACATCAATGAAAAAAATAGACTAAAATAAAATCTAGTTATGACTAATGCCACAACCTATTTTCTTAAATGACTACAATTTCGGCAGATACCACGAAGGCAGTTAATTAGATTCAGTTTATATATATATATATATATATATATATATATATATATATATATATATATATATGTGTGTGTGTGTGTGTGTGTGTGTATGTATGTGTGTGTGTGTTTGTGTATGTGTAAAGTGTCTACGTATATATGTATGTACAAATTGGTCATATAATCTCATTATTACGTATATGCATATATATGCATATTTATACGCACACTCACACACATATATTACTGGAAACGTTATTTTTGTGGATACATGTTACAATCAAACACACACAAAGTGCTCAATACACCGTTCCCAAAAATCAAAATTGTAGAGAGCGAGTTAAGATCTAAAATATTACAAACACAATAACCTTTGCAGCTACCTCGGTTTCTACCAATGAAGGCTTTCTCAGGCAGTTATATATATATATATATATATATATATATGATAAAATAAATTTTTAATGCTATATTTATGGGTTAAAGTTAAAACCCAGAGGTGACAGTCAGGCCATGGGCTGAAAATTGAGTTTAAGCATGAAGCAGACTGTCGCTGTTAGACGTTGACTTCAATGCCCAACTATGGCGACTCTTTTACAACAATTAAAATAAAAATAAAATCTAAAGATCTTTTTCAGAGCAGCAAGAGAAGTCTTTGTAAAATATTCGTTACCTTTAGTAGTGAGAATTTGATTTATCTGTCAATCTCATGACAAGTCATTTGACTAAGTATCATCCATCATTTTGCAGATTTAATTTTTATATGAAATCTGTTTTTATGTTTTGAAATATCGTTGCCTCTTTACCCCCCCTCCTCACACTTATTATACATTTTATTCATTTGTACAAAGGCAAACTGTCTCGAGTATGTCACTGACATATTTTTCACATATGTTTCGACTTGTAAACTTAGTGGAATGGCCACAGTAGGCTGCGGTTAAATCATCAAGCGTGTTTACATCGACACCAAAACATAAATAATTGCACAATAGAGGCATTCTTTTTTTTTTTTTTTTTTAATGTTTCTGCACTATATTAGATTGCTCTTCTGTCTACAAGAATAAGTTGCTAACCAATTATTTACTTTTAGTCAGAAAAGTAGCACATTGGGATCCATGTATATTGCATCATATATGTGTGTGTAGTGTGTTTGTATGAGGGTTTAAACGTGTATGTGTGTGTGTGTGTGTGTGCATGTGCAGACCCAAACGAAAGCATTTTCTTCTAAAAGTTAAATATAAAGATAATATATAAAAAAAAAAACAATATAAAGGAAAATAGCGTTTATTATATATTTATTATAGAATTATAGTATTATTATAGAATTATTGCAGACTTTATTATAGATATTATAGAATTATTACAGAATTATTATAGAAACTAAAATAAAGAAAAAATGGTTATTTTCTTAATAAACATTTAATTTGGATGTGCGTATGGTGTAAAGAATTTCGGCTCGGAATGAGAAATAGTAGACCGGTTCGAATTTCTGTCGAGTTTATTGCTTTCACTTTCACGCAAATAACATTGAGAAAGGTATGACCCCATCAGTTCTTCCACCAGCTATGGGTTAAATAGGAAAACACTGCGTTCTGTAGGCTTGTTTGGCAGCCATTCCAAAACAAATTCATTTTCAAAATAAAGTAATAATTTAAAGACGATCATTTAAAGTGAACAAAAACTAAAATAAGGACAAAAACAAATGTCTAGAAGATCTGTATATATACATATTCCCACCCAAATCTAAATACGTATAAATCCACATACATATAAATATATACATCTAAACATTATTGTATACACAGAGTATATCTAGGTATAAGGTATCTATACCTCTACGTTCATAGCCAAAAAAGCCATTTACACACACCTACATTTAAGAATATATGCATATATATATATATATATATATATATATATATATATATATACACGTACACAGATACATATACATACACATACTTACATATACACATACATACGCATACACATATGTACCTACATCTACACATATATGTTTACACATAAATGTGTTCACACACATATATGTACCTACACATATTCATACTCACTCACACACACACACACACACACACGCGCGTGCGCACGCACGCACACACGCATGGTGGAGTAATGGATAGCGGCTTGGATTGAGGAATCGGAGAGAGCCGAGTTCGAATTCCAGTCGAATCCATTATATTCATTTACGTGCTAATACCATTGGGACAGGTATGAATTCTCTTCTTCTCCCTCCAGCTTATAGGTAAATAGCAGGACAGACTGGGTTCTATTGCCTTGGATGGCAACTGGTCTCGAAGTACAGCTCTGAATTCAAAACCTGCGAAGTGTCGTTTGGGGACCTTGTGGCCCGTAGTGCACTAAGTCTCTGTATTCGGTCCTACAAAAAGTCTGGATGCTTCAGTACAAAAGCTTCAGCCCTATAATCAAATCTCATGTGTTGGCGTCAGGCTGTCGATTCCTGTAGTCGGGTAGTGCAAGCCAAATTTAAGCATTGATAAATTTTATAGGGAAAGTGTTAACAAGTCTACGAATAATCAATTCTTGGATATCGTTGCACGTTTTTCATGGAAGGTACTTATTATTTGATCAATGGTTGTTTTACTTTCTTCGTTTTAGGCCCGCAATGAAACCCCGGATTTATGGATACGTCACAGTCAAGAGTTACCTCTTTACTCAGTTGATACAACTTTGCCACACACTCAACAGGAATTGTCCATTTCACCAAAGACAGGTAAGTCCTGATTACTTTACCCAGACCCTTTCATCTTCTACTTTTAAAATACCTCAGCTTTTCCCTCCCCACCCAATCATCCATAATTTCTTTCTTTTTGCAATGCACGCAAAATGCATGGAACTGATAACATTTTAAAATTAAATTTTTTTTGGCGTTCAAGAATTTTAGTGCAGCAAGATTATCACTATTTTTTTAAAATATATTTTCTTCGAAATGTTATTATCAAGAACTTATTGGAGTTAAAAAATTGTTGGACAAAAGTCTGTTCGAGAATGTGCTGAAAAGTTCTCAGCCCGAACAAAAAAGATTAAAAATTCAGATTTTCTTCCATCGGGTCAGATTTTGGGAATTGCGTTAGGCTGAAAACCTTTCAGCACTCAGTGGTATATCTAAGTGAAATAATTTCATAATAAAGCATATTTTACAAAAGAAATCATCATGCCATTTACATTATAACACATACAATAGAAGCGTTCGTAAAATTCTGTTTTCTAAATTGTATTGTCAGTATACCTCAGTCAGCAAATATAAAAATAGCCTTGTTCGATTTACACGACCAAACATTTTTATGCGTATTAGCAATGGAAATGTTAAAAATAGTTTAAAGTTTCTATTTTTCGTTTTTAAATGTGAAAATATTGTAAAATATTGTATGTAAATCACAGTAAGGTACATATGTATAAAATACATATAGGTAAGGTACATATGTATAAAATACATATAGGTAAGGTACATATAAGCCAGATACATGTTATTATTAATTAAATAACCGTTAGTTGTACTTAGGAAGACAGATGTTCTCACAAATACATACATGCTCTGCATACATGCTCTGCATACATGCTCATATGTCGACACCGAAAACGCGTGTAAAGATTTGTGGTGACACTATGCACAATAAAAGACGATATAATCTAAACTTAAAATTCAGAAGATGAGAGAGCGAGAGAAATGAAAAGAAAAAAGAAGAAAGGGGGAAGATGGGTGGGGGCAACTAAAATCGAAGGGCATTTATAAAAGAGCCGCTGTGAAATCAAGAAAATTTGACAAAGGTAATAACAAGTACAGGTTGCAAATTTAATATAAACATATCAAAATTAACGAATATTTAATCTAGTAAGGACCTACTATTTATATGCCCCAAAACACATATGTATATGCACACATACACAACAACATATTTATATTTACACGCACATACATACATATACGCGTGTACACACACATACAAAATATATATATATATATATATATATCCATACGCATACACTCCTGCGTGTATATACATCTACACACATATACATACGGACATACACATACACACTTATCTGTATATATATATATATATATATATATATATATATATATATATATATATATATATTAGGAGATCAGCCAATTACGCTACCATAGTTTCAACCCTTAGGTATCCTCAGGCGATAGAGACCAAGTGATTTCTTCACTCCTCATCATTCATATCTGAATGCACAACAATGGAAGGGCACAAGCAAGTGCATTTCTTGGTTCCATAAAATTAAAAATAAACATAAAATTGTATTCATAAAATATGACCCCAAGAATTTTTATTCATCAATATATATTTAAAAAAGACGGCTTGAAGTTTTGGATTTCACTAAGGGCTTTGTAAATATATCACCTGAACAAAAAGATATAATTTTACATTGCTGTAAATCTATATTATTCCACAATAGAGAAGCATTGATTTAAAAGTAAAGAAAGTCGACTTCGATGTACCACAAGGTTCATTTGATGGTGCTGAAGTTTCAGAATTCTTTCTTTCTTTGTGCCATGTTTTTTCTCAACAACTTCCTTCCCTGTGCTTCCTCCTCCAGACCACGTTCTTTCATTCATATGCTTAACTCCGCCAGTTGTTTCTTTACGGCAGCGAATGTTGGACGATTTCCTCAAAGATGAAAAAGAGACACGAGGTGACAGAGATGTGGTTCTACAGAAGGATGCTAAGGATATCATGGACCGAGCGTTTGAGCAACAATGAGATTTTAGAGAGGTTGCAAACAAGGAGGAGGCTTATAATTGATATCAGGAAGAGGCAGCTGAAGTTTCTGGGACACATAATGAGGAAGGAAGGCTTGGAGAATCTGATACTCACGGGTTGAATAGAGGGAAAGTTTCAGAATTAATGGGCCTATATATTTTATAAAAGATCAACGAAATAGTACACATAGACAACCACGGCCTGTATAGGGATGACGGGCTGATGATAGTGCCAGACGACAGAAGAGTAAATGATAATATAAGAAAGATGATCTTAAAACTTTTCAAAATCCTCGATTTTGAAATAGAGGTCGATATGAATAAGAATATTTAGGATTACATCTACAAACTGGCAGAGTCTTCTCATGAAACCCAACGCAAAATTGAGGTACTTAGATCTAACCCCCACCACCTGCGTGTATAATAAAGCACACCCCTGAAAGAATAGAGTGAATGTTATCTAGACATTTCTCTTGTAAAATGATTTTCGATGAAAAAAAGAAAGAGTATGAAAATTTTTAAAAGAATAGGGGCATAAAACTCAATTAAAACAACAAATTAAAAATAATTCGAGGAAAAGAAAAATATCTGGTTTAACCCCACTTTTAATTTAGAGGTGAAATGTAAAATAGGGAAAATTCTTTTCAAATTACTTAATAAACACTTGCCTAAAAATTCCGAATTACACAAGATCTTCACTAGAAATACAGTTAAGATAAGCTACTGCTGTACTGGTATTTTGGAAACTACAATAAAAAGACAAAAGGCCAGAAATTTCAAAACTAATGTACAGCAAGATATTGTTAATTGTGAAACATGTAACTGTAGAAATAAAGGTAAATGTCAACTGGATGGAGCTTTCAAAACAGAAGGAGTAATTTACAAAGCAGAAGTAAAAGATATAAATGGCCAGAGCAAAATATACGTCGGGTGTACTGAAGGCAGCTTCACAAAGAGATGGTATAATCACAAGTCATAATTCAGGCTAGAAAACCTTAGGAATTCTATCAGACTAGCCAGCCATGTGTGGGAGTGAAAAGAAAAGATAACAAAGATTCGATTGTAAACTGGAGAATATTAATTTTGGTGAACCAAAACTTACAGCAATCGTAGTGTTGTCTGCAAACTGTGCCAGGAAAAAGTTAACAATAATAACATTTCCAGACCCCAAAAAGTCTACTGAATGAGAGAACTGAAATAATTTCGTGATGTATACAAATTGAAAAGTACTTTTTGAGTTCGTACGAACCCGGATGAAATCATGCATAATTTATTTACTCCCCCACCAATACAATTTCAATACTCTTGCCTTACTATTCCCCTTCAATTACATTTCATGTAGTGCGTCCATATGTGAATAATAAAGCGGTGGGATAACATTTGGACTATATTAAAAAATGAGCATACCAAAAGGTGGACTTTAGAAGAAGGAGGACTTTAATCCAATATATATATATATATATATATATATATATATATATATATATATATATGGATATAAATATATGGATATGAAGAAAAATATACGGAGAAAAACAAACAAAAATCCTAATATGCAATTATGCATGAAAAAGACGATGGACATAAGAGCAAGACCAAACAGATAACTGAAATCTTTTATAACGGAACGCTGATCTTATAAAAGATTTCAGTTATCTGTTTTGATTGGTCTTGCTCTTATATCCATCGTCTTTTTCATGTTTAATTGAATATGGTCTAATGTTAATTATGTTTTATGAATATGTCCTGAAGATGGTCTATTAGACCGAAACGTCCGACGTTGACATTATATTAACATTAAAACAGCATAATTGCATATTAGGATTTTTGTTTGTTTTTTCCGTATATTTTTCTTCATATATATATATATATATATATGTGTGTGTGTGTGTGTGTGTGTGTGTGTGTGAATAAAGACAAAAGGAAAATTTATCTTAGTCTATGCGTTTTGTCCTCTGAGGGTCTTTCCCATGCCAAGCGCGATGATTTTATTTTGTAATAAGTACAAGTATATATTTTTATCCTCATATTTTTCTTGGGAAATTTACTGGTAGGACGAAACGCATTGGCTAACATAAGTCTTCCTTTTCTCTTTATCATATTGTTCTTTTACACTATGTCTGAAATTTGTATATACATATTTATATATGAATATATATATTTGAAAACATTTCAGGAGCATCATATATGTGATCGTGTGCGTTTGTACAAAACATTATACAACGGGGTTGGCACGTAAGATGCATAATGTTTTTTACGTGCCTTTGTGTGTAGATATTGCTGTCATGTTGTAAATGTTGTACATGTTATATGCGGCAAACTAAAATCGTTCTGAGTTTTAAACTCATAGCAACAAAAGAAATGCAACTCAAATAGATTCATATTACATAATACATTGAATGAATTGAAGTTCATCGTAATTCGAAACTATGGATTTGCTGCAAGGAAAAGTCGATGGTATATTTGCACCGTGACTCGAATGGTACAGCACCAGATTCAGTGAACTGCATCGGACTATTGTTAGAAAATATTTATTTCAAGGATCGAAAATGAGAACAAAAATTGTTTGTCCTGTATGTATCTGTTTCCAATGAGAAAATGGATAAAATATCAGGACTATGCCTAGGAGAGGGGGGGTCTGTAATATGAAGTGTCCATAATAATACGGGCAACAGAAATGAGCTAGAAATTCGAGCAGGTTATACATACCACAGTACAGGATACTGAGAAGGGTGCTGAGATTTAAGGAGATTTTAGCAATGACCATTAGACACTCAGTAAGAACATGAATATATATATATATATATATATATATATATATATATATATATATATATATATTCTCGAAATCCAGAGGGTGTCACGTAACTTTTGACCAATATTATATATGTTGTATTGAGCCCTATTTTTGTAGTGCGCCCTTTTTTAAATTAATGTTTTGAACGCTGAAATCTTACTCTTCGTTCTTTTACATTTGTATA